GAGGGATTATAGACTAGGTTAGTGGATGCTGTCTTTAGGAATGCGTTCTTCATATAGTACAGTGGAGAACCAGAATGAAGTATTTGCCAAAGTACTGTATTATTATAAACCTATTTGCTTACTAGCTTTTTTCTCTCATGTATGCACATTTAAATAGTATGCTAATGACTGATCCTGGAACTTGGGACCTTTTGTGTTTGCTGCAGGCCAGCCTTGTTCTTTTCCCCTCAGTCTGGGCTTGAGGTCAAATAGCACAGTCTCATCTGTGAGCTTTTCTCTCTCCTCTTGCTGGTACTAGCTATATCTCTCTATTGCTACCACCTTTCCTTCCTGCTGTTGCTATCCTCACTTTCTCCCAGGATTTATACAGATTCTGTTCTGCTTCTACAGCTTCCAAAATTCATGTTCAGACTATAGTTTTGGGGGGAGATTATCAAACAATCAAATAGATTATTCATTCTGTTCATTCTCATTTTAATTGATATAAAAATGTTTGTGGGACACAAATAATTTAGTTCTATGTTTTGTTGTATTCTTTTGTCATTAATCTTATAAATTGGCCTACAAGAAGGTGGTCAAGGAAAGTGTGGGCCCCTTACTGAATGAGGGAGGCAACCTAGTGACAGAGAATGTGGAAAAAGCTAATATACTCAATGCTTTTTTTGCCTCTGTCTTCATAAACAAGGTCAGCTCCCAGACTACTGCACTGGGCAGCACAATATGGGGAGGAGGTGACCAGCCCTTGGAGAAAGGAGTGGTTCAGGACTATTTAGAAAAACTGGATGAGCACAAGTCCGTGGGTCCAGATGCACTGCATCTGAGGGTGCTAAAGGAGTTGACGGATGTGATTGCAGAGCCATTGGCTATTATCTTTGAAAACTCATGGCGATCGGGTGAGGTCCCGGATGACTGGAAAAAGGCTAATGTAGTGCCCATCTTTAAAAAAGAGGAGGCGGAAGAGGATCCGGGGAACTACAGGCCAGTCGATCTCACCTCAGTCCCTGGAAAAATCATGGAGCAGGTCCTCAAGGAATCAATTCTGAAGCACTTAGAGGAGAGGAAAGTGATCAGGAAGTTAAAGAAGTAGGGCTGGATGAATGGGCTATAAGGTGGATAGAAAGCTGGCTAGATCATCGGGCTCAATGGGTAGTGATCAATGGCTCCATGTCTAGTTGGCAGCCGATATCAAGCGGAGTGCCCCAAGGGTCGATCCTGGGGCCGGTTTTGTTCAGTATCTTCATTAATGATCTGGAGGATGCCGTGGATTGCACCCTCAGCAAGTTTGCAGATGACACTAAACCATTGCCCCCTACACACAGAGTAGGATGGCCTGAACTTGCCAGTAAAACTTTAGTGTTTTTTTACTTATTTCAAATACAGTTATTTTCACTGTTAGACTAAAAAACAGGGGCAAAATAACTATGGAAATATGGCACAGCCATAACACAGATTGTGAAAAATGGGAGAGAGAAACTTTTGAAGAATTATCGAAAAACTACATTATTTTGGAAGAAATAATCAGTCTCCATTACTCTCTTACATCTGTAAAGACAAGAGAGACCACAGGAAGTATAGCAGAGTTTGCCCTTTTAACTTAACGCAAACATACAATCATAGAATATCAGGGTTGGAAGGGACCTCAGGAGGTCATCTAGTCCAACCCCCTGCTCAAAGCAGGACCAATCCCCCAGACAGATTTTTGCCCCAGATTCCTAAATGGCCCCCTCAAGGATTGAACTCACAACCCTGGGTTTAGCAGGCCAATGCTCAAACCACTGAGCTATCCCTCCCCTCTATATATTGCCTCTATATAAATCCATGGTATGCCCAGATCTTGAATATTGCATGAAGATGTGGTCGCCCCATCTCAAAAAAGATGTATTGGAATTGAGGAAAGGTACAGAAGAGGACAACAAAAATGATTAGGGGTATGGAACAGCTTACATATGAGGAGAGATTAATAAGACTGGGACTTTTCAGCCTGGAAAAGCGACAACTAAGGGGGAATATGATAGAGGTTTATAAAATCATGACTATTGTGGAGAAAGTATATAAGAAAGTGTTATTTACTCTTTCTCATAACACAAGAACTAGGGTCACTAAATTAAATTAAGAGGCAGCAGCTTTAAAACAAACAAAAGGAAGTAGTTCTTCACACAACGCACAACCTGTGGAACTCTTTGCAAGAGGATGCAGTGAAGGCCAAGACTAGATGAGTCAAAAAAGAACTTGATGAGTCCATCAATGGCTATTAGCCAGAATGGGCAGGGATTCAAAACCATGCTCTAAAATGTCCCAAGACTCTGTTTTCCAGAAGCCGGGAATGGGCAACAGGGGATGGATCACTTGAGGATTGCCTGTTTTGTTCATTCCCTCTGAAATACCTGGCATTGGTCACGTCAGAAGACAGGGTATTGGGCTATATGGACCATTGGTCTGACCCAGTATGGCCATTCTTCTGTTCTTATGCAATAGCAACATAGTTATTTTTAATAAGCCTCTGCTCTCTTGGATGTCACAGCATGCTAACAGTGGCCAGAATCTGCATGCAAAACACATGGTGGCTGATGGCATGAAATAATGTCTTGTAATACATATGAGGATAGACAAGCACGTTGGGGTAACATTGTCAAGCCTCGGATTCGGTGCTTAATTATACAGAGAAAAGAGAGTTCCATGTTGTGCATGAAAAAAGTCTGTTATAAGAATGTCAATGACTGAAAGTCAGACTAGCCATTTGGTTAAAACAATAGTTGCCAGTACCCCATGTGGTCTGGTTTGAGAGCTGAATGCTGATTGAGTAAAGCAAGATGTGTGTCTGTCCTCTTTCTTCTCACTCTCACTGTAGAAAGATTTTAAAATTCAGCCAGGTCATGAGCACTGTTAACCAACTGCAGCTAGTTTAAATTAAGAAGATTAAAGGTGAATATGCTGCTTGTGAACAAAGAATTCACATAAGTTCTTTCTTAATTCACCTTTTTGAGGAATGGAACAGGGTGTCGTATTAGAGATATTTAACTTGGCAAATGGCTTTTGAAAGGTCTAAGATGATTGCCAGTCTCTGGAAACTGATTAGTAAAATGCACACTGATCACAGTGTATATTAGGAAGGAGGGGCCATTTGGAAGAGGCAGCAGACTTGGTTTTCCTATTTAGCCATGAAGGCTTATTAGCATTTGAACATCGACAACAGACCTGAAAAAAGGAAGAACTAGCATTGTATTCCAGCTTTTTGATATAATAGAGAGTCATTGGGGAGTGGAAGGAAAAAGCTGTATGGCTATTCAGATGAATCTACGTGTCCATTCTACAGAAGAATTTTCACAGGGTTTGTAACTCAGCCATAAAAAATGTGATCGTGGTTGAAACTCTGGCAAGCGAGGTCTCAGCCTGAAAATGGTGGTTTTGGGAAATTTAGTTTTTGAGTTATGCAAGTGCAAATTCTGCTTGAGAAATGTTATATGTAAAGACTTTTTATTTTTGCATTTGTTTATCTCCAAAACACGTTCATTTTTGAAAATGAAATTTACTAGTGTGTCCCTACTGTGGACATCTCCCCTTGAAAAAAGGAGTTATTTCATTTTATAAAAATGAATTGCTGCGCAGGTGGGGTAGTATCTGATCACTTTAAAAGTTCCTGTCAGTTGGGTTTTTTTTTTTTGTTCTTTTTGTTTTTGTTTGTGGCCTTGCTGCGCATTTTGCCCAGCCGTATTTAGTCTGCATACTAAATGTTAGTCTCCCTAACTATATTTACTTTGTGAACTTAGCTTTTTTTCCCCTTCACCCAGATGTATTGTAAATTGAAGTAGATTTTACTCTGACGGGCCGGATTTTAGTCCGTGCACTAAATTTTAGTCCGCAGACTAAAAAATAATCCGCGGATTATTTACTAAATCAATTCCCTCACTGAAAACTACATTAAGAATGTTTAACTGTCTCACCAGAACATAAAAGTGGGGGAGTTCACAGCTAACGGTGAGTCACGTCTGTCCTCTAGGCACTTAGGCACAATAGAGCACTGACACCATCCCAGCTTTCAGGATGCGCCCCATTGTGCTCAAGTGTTGGCATACATATTGTTGTGCACTTCACCTGTAACTGTGACTGTCCCTTGCTCTTAATGTTTAATGTTGTACCCTTTTGTGTAGTTCTTGGTGGGTGAATTAGTCAGAATTTCAGGTGGAACTGTGTTGAATTACTATAGCTAAAAGATGCAGGTTTTTGCTTTAAGTAATGGGTGTGAGGGTATAAGGGGGAAAATCCCACAATAAAGTGAGAAAATTAGTCCATACCCTCACTCCTGAGGAGACATGTCCAGTTCCTGAAGAATCCTAAAGAGATAACATCATCAAAACAAATCCATTGGTGGGGAAGTCAATCCAAAATGGAGAATAATCCGCGGCGGCCTGATACACTCATAGCTCACACAAATTTAAGACAGCCAAATTAGAAATACAAATTAAAACTTCTTATTTTCTCGTCAGCAGAAATCATAAATTGGTTTTTTAAAAAATTTTCACATTGTGTCTCTGGGACAGATTTACAGAGGAAAAATATGTATGTAGTCTGTGCATGCACACACTAAGACAAACTAATTCAGCCCCATTGTCTATGGACATTTATATCCAGGACAGAGAGGACTGCAAATTCTTTAATATGGCAGCTCAGTTACCCTTTTCTTTCTAGTTAGAATTTTGATTTCAACTTTTTTTGTTATTTATTTTTTAGTAAACGCACTGGCATTGGAACATAAATTAACATAGAAATGTTTCTATACTATGCCTCACCATTGCACAATCAATTTTTTTGGCATACACTGTGGTCAAGTTGGACTTGCTGCTATGGAGACTGATGTTTAAAGTTTCTAATTGTATAAACATTTTCTATGTCCCCCACGCCATGGATTTCTTATAATATTGGATATATTTTTCCTTGCTGGACTATTCTCTTTTGGATTGACTCCCCCTGTTTGGATTATTTCACTGCATTATCATCTTTAGGACTCGTCAGGAACAGGACATTTCACCTCAGGAGTGCGGGTATGTACTTAAACATTTTTTCAAATTATTAGGGCTAGTCTTGAAAAGAGGAGAGAGAAAAGCTAGAAGTGGAAAAGTTGGGTTCAAACAGCCACACATCAGCTAGCAGCAGGTGAATATTTTCCCCGTGTCATACAAGAAGGTAATGATTAGATAGGCGTAGATCTGCACACGTTTCACTTTTTAATTACTCTTTATTTGCGGAGGGTGGGTATTTGTGTGGGGTTTTTGGTTTTTCAGTTTCTGACGTATAGATTATTGTAGTAATTGCTTACCTTGAGTGACTCATTCCCAGTCCAGACAGAGACTGAGCAGTTGTTTCTTAAATTCTATAAATGTTGACAGAAGTTCACTGACCTGAAAGATGAAGAATTTAAGGGAGGGGTGTCAGAGGGATTCCTTTGTTAAAGGGCAGATTTCAGTGGTTTTCTGTTTTTTATCTTCATTTAATAAAAGGAGACTGTCCTGTTCTTGTGTGGGCTGTAGCTTGGGAGACGTATGCCACTGCACCACCCTTGTATTGTGGTCAGTAATCCGAACTCTGGAGGCAATGGATTTTGACACAGAATGTAAATAACCTCCATCTACCTCTACCCCTCCCCCTAAAAATATACACACAGCTACTTCAAGCGTGGAAGTCAGCAGAAGTTCTGTGACTGCAGGGGCTACAGCATTTGGGCTTTTGTGCCAAACTGAAGCTATTTCTTACATTACTGTAGTGCCCACGGTATCTTCCCAGCAACCTGAACCAATTCTGCTCTCTTAGTACCTTAACTCTTTGACTCCAGGAGTCAGGATTCCCTGACATGATGAGTTAGTACAGAATGCATTAGAACTAACTCAGGTGCTCCTGACCCAGCTGGGCACCAACGGGTTAAAAAAAAATCAGTCAATTGTTGTCAGTGACCTGATTAATTTTAATTAATATGAGCATAAATGTCTTCAGTTTACAATCTACTGAAGCAGAGCCTGTCCAGGTGCCTGGGGCTGCAGTCAGTTAGCATGTGATGGATAGGTCATTCCTTGGTGCTAGGTGGTTTGGGTTCACCTGCATTGGTGCAAAAGCATTTTGGATTAGCTCAATTGCATCAAAAATGCTGACATCAGAATTTAACACTCCCATCCCACCTCACTTCTCCCTGGCCTGTATTCTACGTGCAACAGAGTGAACGGAAACTGCTCGAGCAGGGTGTTAAGGACATGGACGTGACTGTCCAATTTTGCCTTGAATGTAATGAGATGGGGTAGGCAGATTTGGGGTGTCATTCTGGCTATGTAGGACCATTTTTTAAGGGGTCTGAACTACAACTTCAAGGAAGAACTGCTGTGAACTCTGTGCTTTATATCCTCAAGGTAAACTTCTGAGAGAGTCAAATAGCTTTCTCACTCACCACCTTTTAGTGTTCTCACAAACTCCAAATGTGCAGGAATTATCCCTGTTAATAGGAATCACTTAACACAAGAAGGTCAAGAAGAAGAAGCACCTGTAAACTTGAACTAGAGCTTTTCTGCACCAAGCCTGTTCAATTCCAAACTTGAACAGTGTCATCCATAGCAATAATCTGACCAACTTGCCTGCAAAAATCCACATTAGGGGGAAAAATCATTTGTTTACTGCCGAAATGAATGGTGGCGACCTTTCTAATTTTAACTTTCAGTCAATCCTGCTCATTTGCACCCCTCTCCCCATCATATGCATGGCTGATTTCACCCACTGTGTTTGTTGTCATAAGATCAATGAATTTTCCTTTAATTCTTAAAATTGTTTTTCTGAGCTCTCCCATGCAGCCTTTCACTAGCATTGCATCCTTCACCCACACAGCAAAACCCTTTGCACTTAACCTTTTCAACCCCAGAAGCTGGATTCTCCCATCCCAACACATGAGGACCCATTATATTAGCACAAATAGCATTTAGTTTCAACTCACTAAGCACTGAGAGATTTAATTGCTCAGACTTGCTGCAGTAATAAAAAAGAAACAAGTCCAAACAATCTGTCTCTTGTTTTTCTGTAGGTCTTCCGACCCCGCACTCCACCAGAAGCAATCGCACTATGTAGCCGTCTGCTGGAGTACACCCCCACTGCCCGCCTGACTCCCCTGGAAGCATGTGCGCACTCTTTCTTCGATGAACTACGGGACCCAAATGTCAAACTACCCAATGGGCGAGAGAAACCTGCACTCTTCAACTTCACCACTCAAGGTAGCCTGTGAGCGTTGAGGAGCCTTCCGTTGGGAAGAAGCACTGTGCCAAAAGTTCTGTCATACAAATGCCATTCCCCCAGTAGTAAAATCAAGAGGTGGGGCAAGAACATGGACCAGTTGTATAGCCAGTGATCGTTCTCAAAAATGGACTGTATCAGCTTTGGGAGAGGGGAGGAAAGGGTTATGAAATCGTTATCTTCTTGCATTATTGATTCAAACTCAGTCCACGGGACTGGAAGTCATTACTGTCTGATTGCATAAAGTAAGTTTGCAGCTTCAGTCCAATTCCTAGTGTCCACAGTCCAAGTGACACCTTTGTTTGGAGTCTCACCACAAAGGTTGAGGACCCAGTGAACCACGGGAGACTGAATTGCCTTCTAAAGATGACCCTGTTCATCATGTTTCAGAGTAGCAGCCGTGTTAGTCTGTATCCGCAAAAAGAACAGGAGTACTTGTGGCACCTTAGAGACTAACAAATTTATTAGAGCATAAGCTTTCATG